TGTGAAACCCTGACGTAGCGTAATGTTTAATGCACTTCATGTTGTTGATAAAAATGATAAAGAATATATTCATTTCTCTTTGTATTTTTATATCAATATGGTACAATTGTATCCTATTCAATTCAACGTAATAAACAAGTTAAGTCAAAAGTAACTTAAAAGTAATCAAAAAGTAGTTAGAATATAACCTAACATGTGTAATGTAATGGATTCTGTTACTAACTAAAAAAAATTTTTAATTTGTAAACAACTACATGTAATTTGTAATCAGTAAATAATTTCAATTTGTAAGTACCCAGCACTGTTAATGTAGGCCTATTTGTAAAATATTCGCATAAAAAAATATAAAATTGACTTGACTTTGTTTTCAAGCAGGAATGTTACATTTTAAATTGACGATTTCAAATATGTGAAGACTGGCTGAACACCACTGACCTGGACATATTAAAAAAAAATAAAAAAATCTGCATCAAGGTTTGAAATGAATAAATGATCATAATTGTCCTTTTCGGGTGAACTGTTCCTCTACGCATCTTTCTATTGCATAACAATGTATATTTGTTTGTTTTTTCATTAGCATAAAAGTTTTTTTTTAGCATTTTTGTGATCTGGTGAGACTTAAACTGGCATTGTTTCTCATCACAGATGCTCAATCAAAGCCACTACAGCTTGACGGAGGTTTTCAGCCCATGCAGTTCACTTGCTGCAAAGAGCTGCAGTTTCATATGACCCTCAACACAATCTTGGTCTCGGTCTCTCTCTCTCTCTCTCTCTCTCTCTCTCTCTCTCTCTCTCTCTCTCTCTCTCTCTCTCTCTTTCTCTCTCTCTCTCTCTCTCTCTCTCTCTTTCTCTCTCTCTCTCTCTCTCTCTCTCTCTCTCTCTCTCTCTCCTCCCCCACAAGCAGCTCGTGTGGTTGATTTCGATCAAAACTCGAAACTCAAGCGCTACATGATCTGACTGGAATGTATCAAGCATGTGACGTCATGCAGGTGGAAACTCGACGCGCGTTAGGTACGGATCCACTTTAGTGCGACACATCTGTTGCGCCGCACCAAGCGAAACGCGCCCGCATCCCGGGAAGGCGGCGCTGCATTTGAAAAAATAGGCTTGTTTGAGATGAGCAAAATCTGCGCAGAACCGATCACCGGTGCATGCCGGTTAGAAATGTGTCTGATTGCGGTCCTCCTCATAGACATAATGCCGCACCGAGACTGCTCTCATTAGAGTCACAAATGATTTGCTCTTATCATCCGATCGTGGTTGTATCTCTCTCTATTGATCTTAGTGCTGCATTTGACACCATTGACCACAACATTCTTTTAAATAGACTAGAAAACTGTGTTGGCATTAGTGGAATTGCATTAGCATGGTTTAAATCATACTTATCTGACCGTTATCAGTTTGTAGCAGTAAATGAAGAGATGTCTTATCGATCACAAATTCAGTATGGCGTACCACAAGGCTCAGTACTAGGACTGCTGCTGTTCACTCTGTACATGCTACCATTAGGAGATATCATTAGGAAACATGGAATTAGCTTTCACTGTTATGCCGATGATACTCAGCTGTATATTTTTTCAAAACCTAACGAAGCCTACCAATTCACAAAATTAGCGGAATGCAAATAAAAAATGGATGACTAGTAATTTCCTACAACTAAATTCAGAAAAAACAGAGATTCTAATTGTTGGACAAAAAACTTCCACACGTAATAACCTAGAATACTGTTTAACACTTGATGGCTGCTCTGTTAAGTCTTCGTCGTCAGTTAGTAACCTGGGTGTGCTCTTTGATACCAATCTTTTATTTGAAAGTCACGTGTCTAGTATCTGTAAAACCGCATTTTTCCATCTTAAAAATATATCTAAATTACGCCATATATGCTCTCATTGACAAATGCGGAACAATTAGTTCATGAGTTCATGACCTCAGGGCTAGATTATTGTAATGCTCTACTGGGTGGTTGTCCTGCACGCTTAATAAACAAACTACAGCTAGTTCAAAACACAGCAGCTCGAGTTCTTACCAGAACCAGGAAGTATGACCATATTAGCCCGGTTCTATCAACTCTGCATTGGCTGCCTATTAAACATTATACATTTTAAAATATTGCTGATTACTTACAAAGCACTAAATGGTTTAGCTCCGCAGTACTTGAGTGAGCTCTTAACGGATTATAGTCCTTCACGTCTATTCCGATCTCAAAGTTCCGGCCAGTTGATAATACCTAGAATATCAAAATCGACTGCTGGCGTTAGATCCTTTTCCTATTTATCACCTAAACTCTGGAACAGTCTTCCTAACATTGTCCGGGAAGCAGACACACTCTGTCAGTTCAAAGCTTGACTAAAAACACATCTCTTTGACCTAGCATTCACATAATGCATTATCGACTTGACGACTTCTATAATTCAATGTTAGGCCTGCCGGAACTGGGAACACTTCCCTTAAATCCTGATGTACTCGTTACATCATAAGAAGAATGGTATCTACGCTAATTTTAGTGTCTTTGTTTATCCCGAGGTTTTCCCGCTGCCTGCCAGATCCACACCGTTTCCAGATCTGACAAAGGACCTTCGCCTGGACCCGATGACAACGCAGTGCTGAAGTGCCAACTAGCCTCTCCCTATGGAGGATCCCTATACCACTCTACAGATAAAGCTTCGTGGAAATTTGGGTTCGCGTACCAACCCAGAAGTGATAAAATAAAATAAAATTCTGTATCAAAATTTATAGGCAAGACAAGTAGTTTGTTTAGGCATGGTTTGTAGGGAATTACAAACCTGCGCACATATAAACGCACATAACTAGAATCAATTCTTAATCCGCATGTGAACGCCATCAGCGTTTATCACAGGTTCGCGTTTAAAGTCTGTTTAGAGAGAACAGTGTCGTCTTAGCGGCCCCTAATTAAATAACAAATGATCATTTCAACGGATCTGAATCAATCAAAACTAACTTTAGCTGGAAAATAACATTATTCAAGAACCGCTATAAAACCAAACCAATCTCTGTAGCTACCTTAATGATATGTTTATCTCTGTAAAGCTGCTTTGAAACAATCTACATTGTTAAAAGCGCTATATAAATGAGGATGACTTGACTATAGATTTCTCTATTATGTCTATGGTCCGCTTTGCTCTGATGTCATGCTGACATATGTCAAAAAAAACTCTCGTGACCGCAAGGCGCACGTGTCGGATTCTGGAGTCGCGCGCAGTATCTCCACCAACTGCGCTGATCAAAATCATGATGGGAAACGACTTGCTGACGACACAGCTTAATGCTCATTGGTTTAAACAACCGTGTCCGTGAATGATGTATTGTTCTCTTTTAAAATGTTTGATTTTAAACCTTTTTTATGTTTTATATGTATGTTATGTGTGAATAAACTCTGACAGTGCGATATGGGTTATGTAATGTCATTTTTATTAAAACAATAGCCTATATAGTCTATAAAAACACATGTCTGTATTAAAGAAAAAAATATTGATAAACACGTATTTGGAATGTGATTATAACAAGTAGCCTACTTTGGGTATCTTGTTCATTATATTTGTTTTCATATAAAAGCAACATAACTTAAATTACATCCAGTTTATTAGCAACACTGCATGAGCGTGAATCCCGCGATAACCATCTTTGATTTCACAGGTGTCTGATCCACTGCGAGAAGAAAGAACTGTCCGGCTTGCCTGCGCTTTCTTCACTCATCCTCACACTGCAGCCGCCTGTCTCTCGCATACATTTCAGGCGAGGCAAGGCGCATCTCTAACAAGCCTCTTGATAGTGATGGGCGGATCGATCCTGAAGTATCGATACTTCGATATTGACGTGGTATCGAAAAGGATCGATCCTCACATAAAAATATCGATCCAAATGTGTATTTTTTTTACCAGTTATTTTTTATTAATTTAGCACGCAATTCAGTGCGTAAAATAAGCTTCTAAGTGGAAAAATAAGCGAATGTTAGCGGGTAATTGTGTAGGATAGAACCTTTTCTCCTAGTCATCTGTATACAAGACGAAACCAATCAATCACAGAGAGCGTTCGATGCTGGTGCTTCGCTGAGCTCACAGGCCCAGTGCGTTTGGGAAACTAAGCCTTGCTTAGATGACAGAGAAACAATCGGGAGTTATTTCGCAATAAACAAACCAAAACTGTACATAACGGTTTAAAATGTTGACGTCAGTAAGATCTTTTTTATGAAATTAATATTTTTATTCAACAAGGATCGATGCATTAAATTGATCAAAAGTGACAGTCAAGGGTTTTACACTGTTAAAAAAAATCTACTTCATATAAATGCTGTTCTTTCAACTTTGTTCATCAAATAATTCTGCATAAAATGTATCATGGTTTCCAACAAAATATGAAACTGTTTTCAACATTGATAATAATAAGAAATGTTTCCTGAGCAGCAAATCAGCATATTAAAATGAATTATCATGAGTAATGATGCCGACAATTCAGCTTTGATCACATGAATAAATTACAGTTTATATGGCATAGAAAACAGATAGCCTATGTTAAATTGTTCAATTGTAATATTACAGTTTTTACTAAGAGAAATAAAAATCTTACAGACCCCAAACTTTTGAACAGTAGGCTAGTACTATAATTAGGGTAGTTTTATAAAAGTCACTGACTAATTAAAGGGGAGTTGAGAGCACAAATCACAAAATATTTAGGCCTAGTAGTCATGAAAACGTGTTCAGATTTAGCATATTAATGATGCATTCACCTCATAAATCATGACACACTGCTCTAGCACAGGAAAGTGCATACAAGTTCAAATGCATGCTTTTAAAATGAAAAGGTATCGATATCGACGATACTGGCCCTGTATTTACTTGGTATCGGATCGATACAGAAATTTGCAGTATCCCCCATCACTACCTCTTGAGAAGCATTGTGGGCGTGCAGCCAGGCGCAACCCCGCCCAAATCTGCAGGCTGCAGCCAGAGGTGTGTTCACGAAGAGGAACCTTTTTTTTTTACAGTCTATGAGAGGAACACAGAGCTCATAAACTCGCTTCAAGAGACAGGCTGTTATTCAGTTTGATAAATAACGAAAAGTTTGAAAAACAAGGAATGGCTGTCTCCGCGAGTTACCGGATCTTGTTTTTTTCCGCGTGTGTGATTTTTGCATCGACACAGCCTGGTAAGTCGCTTTAATTCGTCCGTATTTTCATTTACTTGTTTTTCTGATGTAGGCTACTTATGTTTGTAATTCACTAATTTTACTCAATTTGTTTTGATTTTAGAAGGTCTTATAGTCGTGCAGGATTCAGACAATGACAACCCAGTTGACCAGGTCGTTAAAGATACACTACAGAGCGGCCTCACAACCGTCTTCCTGCCAATTATTTACATAATTGTTTTTGCGTTGGGGTTCCCAAGCAACGCGATGGCGATATGGGTCTTACTGTTCAGGTCAAAGAAAATTTACCCTTCTGCCATTTACATGGGCAACCTGGCGCTGGCTGACCTGATGTTTGTTATCTGGACGCCTCTCAAGATTGCTTACCATTTAAAAGGAAATAACTGGACTTATGGGGAAGGGATGTGCAAAGTGTTGGTGGGTTTCTTCTACGGCAACATGTACTGCTCCATCCTCTTCATCACTTGTCTAAGCGTCCAGCGGTACTGGGTCTGCGCTCACCCGCTCTCCCATCAGAGGAAAAACAACAAGTTTGCAATCATCGTATCTGTGTGTATCTGGATCTTCATATGGGTCAGCACTACCCCTTTGTACCTCTACAAGCAAACATTTGAATCCGCAGAACTCAACATCACCACTTGCCATGACATCAACTTTGTCAGTCAGGAGAACTATCAGACGGAAAACATGTTCCTGGACGTTCAGCTGCCCTATTATTATTTCATGGTAATGGCAGGTCTTGTGTTCTTCATCCCAATGCTGGTCATCATAGCTGCTTACGTTCTTCTCCTTCGTTCGCTTGGGAACTCCGCAGTTGAGGGCAGTGCCGGAAAAACCCGCCAACGAGCCGTGGTCCTCATTGTCACGGTGCTCATAACGTTCCTGGTCTGCTTCATCCCCAGTAATGTGATGCTGGTGCTTCACTACTCTGTGCAGGAAAAAAGCTGGGCCAATAAAAGCTATGGCTTCTACATCACCACGCTGTGCCTGGCCAGCCTCAACAGCTGCTTGGACCCCTTCATCTACTATTACGTCTCGGACGAGTTCAGGAAGCACGTCAAGAACACACTGCTGTGCCGCAGCAGTCGTACGCTGGACAGGATGAGGGTGTTGTTCAGGTCCATGAAGTACTCGAAAAAGAACAACACTTCCAAGCACAGGCCCCACGAAAAGCAGCACCTGCGAGAGCGGGTTGACATGGGCCGTTGACACCGCCCAGCAAACATTTTGACGTTTAATGACCGTTGAAAAGACGTCCCTCCGACACGTCCCATCATGGTTGAAAAATAGTTCCAAAATGAAAGTTGAACCGACGTCATCTGGCCGTGAATTCCACGTCTTTTCTGTTCGTCCATGGAAGTCTAAATGTTTTTTTGTTTTTTTTTAGTTCCTCTGGATGTTTATAAGATGTGTTGCTGCCAAATGTATGTGTATATATAATCCTGCACATAAAAAAATCACACCCATATTGTGTAACATTCTGAAAGGCAATCAATCAGGCTATTTTTACACATCTGAACTTGACATAGGTTCTAAATAGGTCCAAAATCAGTCCGGTCAGACCTGGACGTCTATAAAACCGTTTAATCACGTGTACATCAACACATTATTTGTGGACTAAAGCAAAAAAGAGTGTTATAATTTAGCACAACATTTTATTGTGAATCATTTGAAATGTCTTCCAGTTGTTAAACAGCTACTTTTCAAAAAAGATAATAGAAATAGTACAATGTGGTAAATTCTGTGGCAAAAGCATTTTCTCTAACAGTTTTACATTAAGGTTAAGCAACCATTTAATCAAACCAGAATATAACAAAAGTACAGGAACAGTCAACACATTCTATTTTTAGAGTCTTTCAGAGCTGTGGCAGTACTAACTTTCAGTTACTAACAGTCTTGCATTACTGTTAAACAGCCATAAATAAAAGTTTTTAGAGTCTATGAAATTAGTTTATGGTTTTTGTTTTGTTTATGGATTATTTTTTATATCCACCACCCCCAGCTCTTCCTGGAGCGTGCTTCAGGTGTTCCACCATTGCTGCATCAATGTCTGAGTCTGTAGCATTTGGGCTCCACCTCGTCACAGCATCTGAGGAAAGAGAACATGGTTTAAAAAAAAAGGCTAATTTTTAGGTAAATGACGTACTTTGTTTTTTAAATGTCGGAAAATAACCATGTTACTTTACTGCATAATAATCGTATGCCAATAAAATATGTTCTGCGTTAAATGTGTTCTAATAGTGAAAAAAAAAACAAAAAAAACAGCATTTGCTCTCTTCAATACTGTGGTGCCCTTCACTGATAGGTGTGTAAAAGTGAAAAGGATATTTCTGATAAAGATATGTGGTCTTTTAAAGAATGTCCCCTGACTAGATAAAAGTTAACAGTAAAAAAATACTTTAATATTAGACAAGGAACAAGAGATTTTTTTGAATGTCATAAGGCCAAAATGACCTTGAATTACATCTTACAAAGGTGTAGCATGGCTTCTTTTCAATTTGGCCACCACCCCTCATATTGAAATTCGCCATTAAGGCATTTGACATGATTCTGTAAAAGAAATTACACAGGATTACTTCACCTCAAAAAAATTTCACCTAAAGGTCAATTCAGGTGAGACTGAATTTACAGCGAGCGAAAACAATGGTATCAATAATCATTCGATACGTAAATACTTGTACTTCTAACAAAGGTTGACAACAAACTCCAAATAAGCCAGTGATTTAAACACACCACATATAATATTTCTTACTTTCAGTTGACATGGGGTAAGCATTCCTTGAGAATGGCTTAATCCAAGGTAGCCAACCCTGGTCCTCGAGCTATCCCTGCCCTACTTACTGCTGACCAATAATGGATTAGGTGTGTTGTCAGTCAGAAGCTGGAAGGGCAGGAATAGTTGGAAAACAAGCAGGGCGGTGGCTCTCGAGGACCAGGGTTGGCCACACCTTGTCTGCACATTTTAATTTGTGAAGTGATAAGACTGCTGTTCAAAAGTACACTTCACAGTGTAATACTGCATTAGTTACTATGAAATTAGCTGTTCTTTAGCTTTTTCTTGAGCAATGACAGACATAGGCTCTATATTTGTAACTGTATGAACTCAGATTTAGAAAAATGTATGTTCTTTTTTTTCTTTTTTTTTTCTTTTTTTTATTCGGGACAGTGCACAGTAATGAACAATCTTAACATTCCTGTACAGACTGTAAATGAGCCAGGTTATAGCATAAATGCTAATTTTCACCTGTAGACCCGAGGCAGGAAGACAACAACATATAAAATAATGCAACACAATAGAATATGACAATATACAATATCAAGCAAGAAACACATTAGCACACATTCAGGCAGAATACATTGTATCAATAAAATTAGTCAAAATGAGGACATAACTGGGAACTTTTAAGAAGCTGTTTAAAGTGCTTTTAAAATGTACAGTAAGTGGGACATTCCCTAATGTTTGTTGGGATGCTGTTCCAAAAATGACCTCCTCTGATAGACAGAACAGTTTGTCCAAAGGTAGTTTTTCTCTGCGGGATCTCTATATCTCCTCTGAATGAAGCTCTGGTACAACAACCTCTGTCAGACCTTGGATTAATGTATGTAGAAAGTGAAGGTGGGGCCAGTCCATGAAAAACTTTATAAATTAAACAGCTATTTTTAAAATTAATAAAATTTTCAAAATTGAGCATATTGTATTTTCCCAAAATATTACACTGATGGTATGACAGAGGTTTTTGATCAAGTATTTTTATAGATTTTTTGAATAACATTTCCATGGGTTTTAAAATTGTATTTCCAGTGAGTGACCAGGTTGTGATGCAGTAATCTATATGTGAAAATATCATTGAACGTAGGAACATTTTAGCAGAAGTAATTGTCATTGATGGTCTGATTTGTTTAAAATTATGTAAATTGAAATTGATTTTGTTCGCTGTAAGTTTGATGTGTTTTTTAAATAGAAGTGTTGGGCAGTGTGACACTGAGGTAGTTGAACTCCTCTACAATGTCAAGTTCCACTCCCCCCAGGAACACATTGGACCGCTCCAGTTTTATGGGGTTTTTTTGTGAAAATCATATAGCAACAGTTTTATTTTTGTTCAGTAGTGGCAAGATTTAAGCAGCCAATGCTGTATATTCTCCAGTGCTGATGTAAGGATGGATGATGCTTCCTGTGTGCTTTTAGCAGGTTTGACATGTGACTACCAGAAATAGAATAGTGTGTCCCTGAATGAAAGGAGGCTCAAAATCAAAAGTACCAGTCAGTATCTTGTGTGGCCACCAGCTGCTTGAAGAACTGCAGTGCATCTCCTCCTCATGGACTGGACTAGATTTGTCAGTTCTTGCTGTGAGATGCTACCCCACTCTTCCATCAAGGCACTTGCAAGTTCCTGGACATTTTTGGGGGGAATGGCCCTAGCCCTCACCCTGCGATCCAACAGGTCCCAGACGTGCTCAATGGGATTGAGATCCGGGATTTTCGCTGGCCATGGCAGAACTGTCATGCAGAAACTCACGCACAGAACGAGCAGTATGGCTGGTGGCATTGTCCTGCTGGAGGATCATGTCCGGATGAGCATGCATAAAGGGTACCACATGAGGGAGGAGGATGTCTTCCCTGTACCGCAAGGCATTAAGATTGCCTGCAATGACAACAAAGCTCAGTCCGATGGTGATGTGATATACCGCCCAGAGTTTCCGCTAGAAAAAAATGGTGCCGGTCAAAGTGACCGGCAGAGGTTTCGTTTAACGGACATTTTGATGATTTGCCGGTCAAATATCGCCCATTAATTAGTCAAGTTGAGGAAAACTGGAGGCAGGCTATGTAACTTAAAAAATGACATAATCAGGCCGTATAGAATGCAACATGTTATTAGCCTAACTTTCAAATAGACGGGAAAAAACATGAACGTCCGATTGGCGTCAATTAACACCAATTGTTTTTTACTATGGTTTCACACACATTCACTTTTTGAAACATTGAGGCACGGATGTACCTAATACAAATAAATAACTAGCTAACTAGTTAACATCTCCAGTTAACTAGCAGATCATTCATTTAGTTCGCTATTAAATAAGAGATCTAGCGCTAAAATCAGCTGTTTTTTAAATCAAGCTGAGCGCTGTCCGCTGCTATCAGTTGCATGGACGACGCGCTGCGCGAGTTGCGCAATCTTCACTCGGACGCGCGTTTCAATCTACACCGTTGCGGAGACTCTACACAGGCGATCGCTACTTGGGCGCAGAGATATCACGCAACACCTGAAATAAAGCTTGCCACAAAGAACCGGCGAAAGTAATGATTATGGATGAAACATTTAAATTGTTGATAAATTGATAAAGTTGACGATGCAGACTCGCCATCTTCGCAGTAGTGAACGCGCATAGAGAGAGAAATGCACACTTCATATGAATAAATTCTTATTTTTTAATCCAGGCAAATTTGTTGATGAAACATTGATTAAAATGAAGATACAATTTATACAAAACGAAATAAACTTTAAAGAAAGGCTTTCTACAAAACAAAACTAAATAAGTGGTCAAAATCATGTCTGACCAATTCCAAATGTTTTCCGATATATAGGCCTATTGGTCATCTTATGATCCTATCTTACTCATCTCATGCGGTTCCCTTTTCACACAGCCTATCAACATAGATGAAATAAAAAAATAATAACATTTTATTATTTATAAAAATGAAACGTAGCCTATATTTAAGTTTATAACTTATAATAAGCGTCACCGCTCCGCTTTGCTCACATGCTCTGGTGTGTAGTCTAATGCATGTGTGCGTGCATGTGGTGGAGGGGTGCGATTTTCGAATAATAATCAACCCAACGATCTTCGAATATTATTTTTGCTTGAAAATTTCGTTTTGTATAAATTGTATATTCATTTTAATCAATGTTTCATCAACAAATTTGCCTGGATTATTAAATAAGAAGCAAATATAGTGGACAATATAGGCTAATCAGGACACGGAGGCGTCGGCGCATGCACACTTCTCTCTATAGGCGTGTTCACTACTGCGAAGATGGCGAGTCTGCATCGTCAACTTTATCAATTTATCAACTTTATCAATAATATCAATGGACCTGGCCATATTTTAAACGTCTCACTCAATTGTTCGTTGTTTAGGTCTATATTACAGCCGTTATAGGCGTGCGCTTTATTTGAAATGCAGCATGCAATGTTGTTTAATAACTTTCGTAGAGCCTGTTCCTTTATAACATAGCCAAAGGTCGGTGTATTTTTTCTTTATACATTTTAGGCTTATTCTCAAATTCATATTGTGTTAGGGGGGCGGGATTATTACGCAATTTTAATCGGACAATTTGACCG